GGTACTACTCCTGGTATTGCTCCTGGTATTGCTCCTGGTATTGCTCCTGGTATTGCTCCTGGTACACCTTGAGAAGGATCATAATTGTGATTTAGCAGTTACTGCTATAGATTAGCAATAATATATTAGCAATTATAGTATAATCTTTTCTATTATTTGACTGTAATGATAAATGTTTATACTGGAAAAGTGATTACCGGGTTTTGGCGGTTTAACACCTGCCGGGTACACTGCAAGACAAAAAGCAGCACCTTGCTATTCAGACAAAGAGAATTTTCAAATCAGGAAAAAATAGATCTTAAGCCTATTGTATATTCAGCACCTCCTGGTACTACTCCTGGTATTACTCCTGGTATTGCTCCTGGTATTGCTCCTGGTATTACTCCTGGTATTACTCCTGGTATTGCTCCTGGTATTACTCCTGGTATTGCTCCTGGCACCGCTCCTGGTACACCTTGAGAAGGATCGTAATTGTGATTTTGCAACTATTGCTATATATTACCAATAATATACAGGTCATCGTCGACTTTGACCACGATCAGTTCCGACTGACCAGTCGCAAGTTGATATGGTTATAAGTCGGCCATTTATTTTATATGCAAAAATGATCATATGCAGGGGTGCATATAACTGGTATGTAAGCATGCATTCACCGTATAAAGCGATTCACGCAGTAATTTCTTGTAGCAGCACAAATGCGTATTATTTTTATGTGCATCGCGTTGTTATGATAAATTACCATTCATTTTAACCTTTATGTGGCTAATTTGTACTTCTTTTGTAGCATAAAGGCAAAAATGCTGTGATTTCTTCTCATAACAGTGAGAATGCACATAAATACGCATTTGTGCTACTACTACCAGAAACTGGCATACGTATCGCTTAATATGGTGAATGCATACTTGCATACCAATTAAATGCACCCCTGATCATATGTATAGGATACTGTATAATAAAATTATATCATCTTTAGGTCATATTGTTTGGAGTTTTTTAACCTTTTTATCACATTTTTCTTAGTTTCACTGCTGCCGGCAGTTGAGGCAGAAATATCATATATTCAGGCTGGGCAACACTCACGCTACCAGATGCGGCGCAGTCGTGGCCACATATTTGCAGTCTCAGAATGGTCATAAAGTCGATCAGTCGTAAGTTGCATAGGTCGTAAGTCGCCGACGACCTGTATTAGCAACTGTAGTATAGTTTTTTCTATTATTTGGTTGTAACAATAAAGAGTTTATACTGGAAAAGTGATTACCGGGTTTTGGCGGTTTAACACCTGCCGGGTACACTGCAAGACAAAAAGCAGCCCCTTGCTATTCAGACAAAGAGATTTTTCAAATCAGGAAAAACTGATTTTAGGCCTAATGTATCTCCAGCACCTCCTGGTATTGCTCCTGGTATTACTCCTGGTATTGCTCCTGGTACTACTCCTGGTATTGCTCCTGGTACTACTCCTGGTATTGCTCCTGGTATTG